GATTTTGATTACGTATTTAAATAATGATTTAATTTGGAAGGCTGAGACATGTGGAGCTGTCTATTCCAGTGCCCAAATTTCTGCTCCCATTCAAAACACCAGTAATCTTAGTTTAAAGTGACAAGCCAGCCCTCTCAAGGATGCCTCCGCTACTGACATGATTATATGGGGAAGCAAACTTTATGAGGAAGAATCTTGTAATAACTGAGTAGCTTCAGTACATTTTTCTGACTTCCCAAAGCTGAGCTTTTAAAGGAAAAGCATATGAAAGGGGTTCTGCTCTAACTCAGTGTAAGGCAGGAGCCATTCCACTGCAGCAACCAGAACTCACACAAATAAAACCAACCTGTAAAATGATGGGGGATGAAAGAGGCTCTACTTACAAGATCATCAAACTGTGATCTGAAGTGAGAGTTTCTAGAGTTAAGAAATAGTCTTCAAAAAGGAGAATTTCAAGAAAGGTGTGGTAGAGTCAATGCTGCAAGCAGCTTTCTTGAAAGCCACAAATTCTTCTTTCTTCTGGAAGAATACCCTATCCCTCGCTTTTTTCCCAAAGCTAACTTAGTATCTCCATGAACTTGATGAGAGAAACTGATCAAGCATTCATGTGCTGTTGAATACAAGATCAGACTTGATAGCCTACACAGTAATTTTACTTTTCTCTATAAAGGGCATATCCTACTGAACCTTCATTCCCCTGGTCTGAAAATCAGCGAGCCAGTTATACTCATTACAAGATCACTCATTCAACAAATATAATGAAAAAACCAAACGGTTTGACTGATGAAAAGTCAAGACATTTCGGGATGCCAGAGCATCATATGAAAAAATGGGCCTGTAACCTGAAAGGTAAGGTCACTTTATGTAGCGCCAGTATAAGAATAAAGTTAAATCTTGTGTGTTTTCTAAAGGACTTGTGGGGGAGGCTGGGTGAGGATTCGCTATCTGAATGAGGCAACGGAGAATGGAGGGACATATCGTGGAGTAACAGCAGGCATAACTTAATTTTACAAAATAGTATCAAGTGTTTTTCAGGAAGACTGTTAAAAAACCAATCACATTTCTGGATATCTCCTAGAGATTAAATTAGTGTAGAAAAGCAGTGTATTTAATTAGGGACCAACAGATCCTCAGCCTCTTATGTTCTCAGACAATCCTTTCCATAGGGAGCATCACACTACCAGATCAGCTACTGGTCAGCTACTGAGAGTGTTTGCCTAAACCAACGCTCTTCAAGAGAAAACAGAAAAATCCTTTGATTTAAATAACTCTAGAAGAAGTCTAGAAGAATTCAGCAACGGCTGTCAATCAGAAACACATGATATTTTTCTTTCCTATCCTGACTATGTGAAAAACGATTGTAGAAATGAAATTTTTATTAGCATGGCATTTGCTTTTGCGTGCATTCTTAACTAAGAATCTATGTGAATTTTATCTCTGTTTAGATTATGAGAGGACTGCATGTTAAAATCTAGTGGGTTTTATTCCCATTTTTTCACGGTGGCTCATGAGATAGATTCTGGGTAGTAGTCGCTTTGCCTTAAGGAAAAAAGACTGTTTCAAACTAAGCACAGGCTTCTGAGGATATTCTGGTACCTTCCTGGCTACTGTGACCGGCAGTATCATCTGCACTGGGGGTAGATGGCAAGGTCTTGGGAGTGGGGGAGCTGCAGAGAAGGAGGGGGGAAAAAAAGAGCAAACACAACAGAGGGATCACCAAGGTCAGAGGAAGGAGGAGGAGGAGGAGGATGTGCTTCATAGCAGAGCAGGTATCCCCACTGTGGCCCTTGGAGGACCCCACACCAGAGCAGATGGATATTTCCTGATGAGAACTGTGATCCACGGAGAGCCCACGCAAGAGCAGGGGAAAAGCGCGAAGAGGAAGGAGCAGCAGG